GGCGAGTGATCATTGGCTTTGCCTTTAATGTTTTCATGCGTACTTACTTCTTCTTCTTCGTCGTCGCTGAACAAATGTAGCTGTAACAACAGCCGCGACCATGAGCAGAATTATAAGAATAGCACCTGCGACCAATACCATTATTCTGAAAATACACAGCTGCTGTAGATTTTAAGCATTTCAGGAGTTCAGCGCTGCTTACATCAAGGCTTCACCTCCTCGGTTCCTTGAATGTCGTCGTCTCCCTATCAAATCACTGTCGCCAGAAGCGTGCCTGAACAAGTCACCATTTCATTACAATACTTCTTTTACAATCTTGAGAAAAAAAAATCACAGCACAATAGCCTTCTGCGAATCTGCTTCATTTGTGGAGACCAGGCCGTACGGCTGCTGCGGAAGAATGTTGTTTCAAATATTTGTTCTTTTCCCTAGAAAGGGGAAGAACAACCCGCGATTGCAACCCGTAATGACAGAGTCAATTACGAGTAGAGAAAAAGTATGAGAAATTGTTCTTAGTTAGGCTCATAGTGCAGTTAATAACTGGACGAGTATGAGATGGTCTGGATCAACTACAATATGCAAAAGGCAGCATACAGACAGAAACGCAGGAGGGAGACCAGAAAACGGCGGCCGAGATTGCGCAACGACTTACCACGGAGACGCGAGTAACGTATGCGGGCATAGGAATACATATTCGGTACCTAGGGGCTTAGTATTCAGGCCTACCGCGCGTTGCTGTCAAGCTCATTCTCTTACTATTCGTTCTCATCAGTAATCGAAAGTTTATAAGTAAAAAAAAGCTATTTTAAAAAAACTATTGAGTGCATAAAGTGCCACATTATTCCAGGTTTTCGGTTCTCCTCGAATTTTCCTGAGTTTCCTGTTTCAGGCGAACTACATACCCCCCCCCCCGGCTCGTCGATCCACGTCACATATAGTAGGAAAGTGGCATGAATCATCTCTAGTGCTATCACCAAGTGATGACTGAAGGAAAAGTTCGCTTACTGAGACTTTATTACTTGGCAGTGTAGTGGTCATAGATGTCGTGAGATGTCCCCTTATCTTTTCTTATCAATTGATAAAATTGCTTGTCACCCGTCATCAATGTCGCTATCACCAAAACTCCATAATTTCGTGGTAGAGGCTCCAGCATTTGACTGAACAACAACTGCAACGTTCTCTAACAGCACTATCAGCTGTTAGCCTCCGTCGCCATCCCCACCTTCCCACTTATATCATTTGCTGAAATCAACGCCTAACTGATGCTGTGTCCCGCGTTATGAGTATGTTGACCTTCCCATTCTAACTCCCCTTATCAAATCTTATCAGCAGCTAGCAGTTCTTGTCACCCACCAATAATATTCCTGTGCCATAGCCTATATCATACCTTGGAACAAACGCCCCAGTGTTCCAGTCGGATCGCCCGGCTCTGCATCCTTCCCTTGCACATGCTCAGGTCCGGCTGAGCACGTGCAGGGTAAGGAAGCAGAGGGAGCGGGGGGCCTCCCCCCGGCTCCACCCCACCCTGCCCCGCACGAGCACACGTCCAGCTGCCACGCCAGCAGCTCGTGCAATGGCTCGGAGTGTACCGAATGGTTGTCTTATATATGCTGTTATCACAATCAAAACATTGGATTGATACATCCGCACCAATCGGTTACCGGTTTGCCTAGCGGTCGTTTTCTCCTCCAGCGAACTCGAACCCGTGAAGCATTTTGCGGACGGACAGACATACATACATGCATACATACTTACTTACAAACATGTAGGTTGGAAGGAAAGTCTTGTCACTGTTGTGACTTTTTTCTTTTTTATTTTCTAACTCAATATACAGTGGGAATTAGTCAACAATATACTCGTCATAGTTAGCCACTACAGTGCTCCACCCAATGGACAGGTAAGCATTCCCCTCCTCCCAGAACTGAGAAGGCTGCGAGTAGAGTAAGTCAGCGCCCTCTCGACTGATGTCATTGCTGAAAGTTTTCTTAGCTAAGAAAGCCTTAAGGAGGCGGAGCAGGTAGCAGTCGTAGGGACTACGTCAGGAGAATATTATGAGCGGGGACTGGTCTTCCAGCCTTGCTCCTCAATTATTTGGTAGGTCTTCATAGCAGGTATGGGGTCTCGTGTACTACGAACGAGGTGACCCGAAGCTAGGGTCATTTTTCGGCACTATTCAACTATTACTACCCCAGTTTTGCGAAAACAGGCCGGATCTTGATCGACTTTTTTCTACGGGGGCGGATTTGGCTGAAAGTTGGGTTCTAGGGGTAATTCGACCTCCTGAACACGAATATCACATCCACTTGGCCTGAAATTGCCTGGCGCCCGCGCCATAGGCGCCAGTGATTTGGGGCATTTTGGCGCCGGCGCCTGTGGCGCGGGCGCCAGGCGGTTTCGGGAGGAGCGGATGTGATATTCGTGTTCAGGAGGTCGAATTACCCCTAGAACCCAACTTTCAGCCAAATCCACCCCCGTAGAAAAAAGTCGATCAAAATCCGGCCCGTTTCCGGAAATCTGGGGTAGTAATAGTTGAAGTTTTGCCCAGTTGCCCATTTTTCTTCAACAGCTTTCACTCGTTTCGGGAGTTGAGCGACACAAATGGTGGCGGTGATCGTGTGTTCTTACAGGGCAGCTCGTTCTGCAGCATCCCTCTCGCGTCCCAGGAGCAGCACAGGAGAACCTTCTCGGAATACATGCCCGGTTTGGACTGCTAGAATGGATCTTCTCCTTGAGAGAGACACACGGTACTGTGTGGGTTGAAATCATAGAGGACCCATCTCTCATCCCCACTAAGCAGTCTGGAAACTCCTTCTGACGAGGGCAGAGAAGGGGACTGACCAAGGGGTACCCGGGTGCACAGCGTGCCATCGGTCAAGGTATGAGTGATCCATCGAGCCAGTACTTTTTGGTAGTCAAGGGCTTACAGGCGGTGGACGACTGTCAGTTAGGTACATCCGAGTCTAAGACTGCGGGTGGTAGCCTCTGGATCCCCTTGTCTGCTTCGAGAATGGTGGAGTCTTCCACTTCGTGGGGCCGTCCCAACCGAGGTTTGTCTTCAAGGGTCGTGTCTCCTTTCGCGAAGCGAGCGAACCAAAGGTGGACAGTCATGATGGTAGTGGTGTCCTCCGCCAATGCACTGCTGATGTTGCGGACAGCTGCCGCTGCCCCAGTGCCGCGGGGCCACGGGTGACGGATTATTGGTACGACCAGCCTAATTTAGAGGTAGCTGGCACCCGGCAGCAGACAGCCTTAATGAGGTGCGAAGACTTGGTGTCTATCTGCGAGATGACCTCATTAACGAGAGGAGGCTTAGAGGTCATCCTGTCACCCACATTCCTTCACAACGAAAGCAGAAAGATCAATAAATCGAGGAAAGCAACCAGTAAAATGCAGATTCTCTTGGAAAAAATGTTGTGGAAGAAAATATTGGTATTGTACACTTCAAATGCATTAGTTACAGTGAGTAACCAGGAAAGTATGGGACCTCTGGTATTCAGGATTTTCATTTTCAAATACCACTAAATAGCGTCTGAAAGTCGGAAAATGAACATTACACTAAAAGGGTTCAGCCCACCGAAACAAATACACTTATTTGTTTTCAACAAACTCTTCACTTCTGCAAATTGCTAATATGCTGCTGCCCTCATTACGGCGAATTCGTAGAGGGGTGACCTTCTCACACCTCTTTGAAGATGACCGACTATTACCTCCATGAACTTCAAAGACCTCTAGTCAAACATAACACCTCTGTGAGAGGTCATTTACTGGTATATAAAGCTAACATGATATGTGTTCTCACGCAACTAATAAAGTTGTATTCGGCGTTGTATTTATCGCATCTTCAGCCCTCTGTTCAACGTAATATGTCTTCTCCTGGGTTCTACACCTACCTGGACATCACTACACCCCCTTCATCTTCGACTGGAATGTTCGCCCCTTCACCTTTGTATGTATCCCCACCTCACGTGCACCCCTCTGCACCTCTCACATCTTCGCACTACACTGACCAGTTTTCATCCTTTGATCTCTCCCTTGCACCAACACCTTCACACAGTCAGACTCTGTCTAACGCTCTCCCCTTTGCACCAGCACCGTATTACGTGAGTGATACCCCCCTCCCTCCTACACATTCCCTTTCGCCAGGTACCCAGCAGACGTCGCAACTACGGCAATTTAAAGGAGAACCGACAGGTAAGCAAACAAGGAAGACATAGTGTTCTTATATACAGAATTCCAGGGACACAATATGCCTATACGTTTGCGAAGCACCGCTCAAATAAGAACGAAGACGTTTATCGCTGCGTGCAGTGTAGAAAGGAGAGTAGAAATCGTGGTGAGGATGTTCTGGGAGACACTATCAAGGTGGATTTTGGAAAAAAAACATTTCTATCATACTTCCAGCAAACTTTAAGCATCCCTCGTTCAGGTGGTCGGTGATGAATTCCTGACAGATCCATGTGGTCTCTTCCATGACTGTCTCCCCGAGAGGTACTCGACAGAGAGAGGGACTAGAGCGTTTTTCGAGGTTAGCCTTCGTCAGCCTAGAATTACTAGCTTGGCTGGAAGTGATGCACTTTTAGGAGCTTCAGAGCGTTAGGCAAGACTCGGCATATGCTACAAAAAAGCCTGTCCAGATATATTTTGATCTAATAAGTAAATCTCGAGATGCAGATGATGGTACTGAGTCATTATGTTACGGTTTTCTCCCTAAGCTAAATGTTCGTGTTGCAGAAGATATGGAGGACGCTATCAGGGCAGCCATCAGGAAATCTGGCTATCAGGCGCGGAGACGGCAGATATCACAGAATTTGAACAAGTGGGTGGATCGGTCGGTGACAATGGAAAATGTCCCACACGAATTTCGGACTCTTCAAGATGGGTCGCAGTTTCTCCAATTTCACGAACCGAGATTCCATATATACTATTCTGTGCGAACCATCGAGGTATCGTTCACATTTATAGCAGTCCAGTTATTCTGAACAGATAAGATAATTTCAGATGGCTCTTCGAAAATGGGCTTTATGCAATCGTCGCGGATGGTGTGCACTCACTGCACCCGAAGAGCCTGGGATACCAAGCACAACTGTATTGTGTGCATGGAGTTTGTAGCCGAGAAGTGGACCTTCCGCTGATGTTCTGCATCACGGAAAAGAAGACGCGTCGGGTTTATAAGAAGATTTTTGAGCACTTGAAAGCGAATCTGCGAGGGGAAACCCCTCGACGCATAGTGCTCGACTTCGAAAAGGC